TCCCCCTCTCTCTCTTGCTGTAAAATGGCAATCCTTCAATCCTAAACAGTATAAAATATTCTAAAAGCAACAAGAGTACAATTTTGTTCCAACACAAATGTAACAATTTTGCTCTAGCATAAATATAACAATATATCATATATAAATATGATTCGGAATATCAATAAAAAATAATTCCTCAGTTAAAATATAATTACTAATAAACCTAGAATATATAATTATACAATAATATAATTTGCGAATATAATTTATAAAAATATCACACACATGTTCCTCAAGCACAGAATTTCCCCGTGTTAGAATTCCTTAGTACAAAGAATTTGCAATAATAAGTGCTTGGATTAAAATTACAATTGCGCACCACAAGACTAAATAGATAGAAACCGAAATTTCCGAACGGTTTCAACCGAAGAAAACAACTGTAAAATATCACCCTATACTGTTTAAAGTCAAGGATAGTCACCGAAGAGTTAGATCAATTAGATCATAAGAGCTACTGCTGTACAAGGCTACGCTGCTACTTCGCCGAAATTCTTGTGACCGGTGTTCTTGGCGTGTTGCTGAGCCGCTGCTTGTCCATTTAACATGATTTTGCAGTCAATGCACATCAGTGTGAATTTTTGAACATCCGTGAACTGGCGACTCGATCTCGCCTCTTTTGCGAGCTGGGCGGCCTCCAGCAGCATCCCTTCATCCTCGGTGGAAAAGATTGTTTGGATACTGCCACCCTGATAAAGAAAATACGTTAAAATCGAAACTATAAAGTTTGCAAAAGGCATAGAATTCTATGTTAAAAGATCTTTCTAAATAAATATCCAAAAAAAGAAACGAACTATTTGACTTTTCTTCATTTTGATATGATATACCTGTACAGAGGTTGAGATTATAGAAAATTTTTAAGTATTGGTAGAAGAAATTTACATTGAGCGGTTCCAGGTAGAGAGGATCATAATGAATCCCATCAAATATGAGAAAGACTCGTTGAGCATAATGCTGATCTTCGCCAAACCTATTGATGATCGCGTTAATGCTGTCGATCACCGCTATCTCTAAACCATAAAATTTAGATAGGATCGACAGTTCGATGGCGCCACCCCAAGCATCAGACTTGAGAATCCATTCGCAATATTCAGCATTGGGTCTGCCCAGAAATGCCTCGGAGTATTCATTTGGATCTGCCGCTACCGCGTTTGCTATGATCTCCCTCATAAAACTAGCGCAAGTAGTGTCAACTTTTCCTAAAGAAACATAAATTATTACAACTTACAACTTTGAGTTTAACATTTGTTTTTTTCTCCTTATTATTTTGAAATGTATTTATGTATGAAATTTTAATTTAGCCTTAATATTTTTAAGTATAGTTGCGTATTTAATTCATATGATTTTTAGAAGCGTGATATTTGTTTTATAAGTTTAAAACTACAAGTACCAAGCGATCATTACTAACTCCGTTTTCTGTATTTTTAAAATTAGTATTATATTTTTTATGTAAAAGACAAGATTTTGAAATTGTTTGGCTTGTTAATAATTATGTTCTTTATATTGATAAAATATTTTTTATCAATGTCTTTATTTTCATAATAATTTACTTGCTTGATCCTTTTAGTAAGAAACGTTGGCACTTCTAACATTAAAATTATACAAACTA